ACACCCCTCACCTGCCTTTTCTCTGCATCTGTTCAGGATCTTTCTGGAAGTGTGGGCCTCCCTGAACTCAGAGAGCTTGACAAGGTCAAGGAGCTTAAAGCTCCAGGACCTGGGAGGTGGGGTCCTGAAAGCAGACCTCTACTGTTTCCGAGGAGGGTCTCTCTCCTTGTCCCGGCTCTGGCTTCAACCAAGATGACCCTGATCCTGACAGAGATGGTGACCGTGGCAGCTCCTTGGGGACCATCTGTGGCAGGGCCTCTCACACGACACTGCATGACAGCTGCCAAGGGTTTGTGCTTCCCTGGGCTCCACCCCCAGCAATTCTGATTCAGTGGGTGATGCCCCTGCCAGTGGCACGGGCACCATACTTTGAGAACCACTGCCCTAAGAGATGGAGGCCAGGCTGCAGGCGTTGATGAAAAGTTACACAGGCTGTGCAGAGCACAGGTGGGTCTTGACATTTGGTGTCCAGAAGAGGATTGTAGGGAAAAAGGTAAAATTGACCCAGTTAGATGCTACCTCTTTGAGCTTTATTTGGCACATGACAAAACTCCAATTTTAACTTTCTACATTTACCACTACTTATGTGACTTGGGTGTAGAAGGAAAATGCCCATGGGCCAATTTTCTAGGAAACAGGGAGGTTATGTTACTCCTGGATTACACCAAATACTGGTCATTTTAAAAAACTGCTTTATTGAACTATAATTTACATACCATGAAATTCACCCATTGTAACAGAACAGTTCAAGGATTTCTGGTAAGTTTATATTGTGCAGCCATCACCACAGTCTAGTGTTAGAACATTTCCATCTTCCCAAAAAGTTCCTTTAAAATCTGGTGCTTTTCGTTGTTTGTGAATTATGTTAACAACATGTTCAAGTACCTTTCCAATGGATAACAATACTTTTTAAACCCTCTATGTTTTCATTATTTTAAACCCAATAAATAGGTCACAGGCCACCTGTTTCACTTGTCATTGGTTAGTCTTCATAGAGACGTTTGTGTTTACTTGCCTAAAATGAAATAATCATCCAGTGAGTATTATAGCATCTACTGCGCCAAGCATTGCTTTGCCATCTCTTAAAGCTTCGTAAGTGTACTTCTCATGATTTAAAAGAGTTCTTCAATAGTTTATCTTAATTTCAACACCCATCGTGTGCCAGGTAGTGCACTAAAGGATGTAAAGATGAATAATACATGGTCCCTGCCTTCAAGGGGCTTAGAACTCTAGGAGATGAAACAAAAGTACAAGCTAATCAATATAGTATGATTCTATAATTAGGTCCCTTATCACAAATCTTAGAATGGTAGGGGAAACGAACAGCATTACATCTTATCATTTTTGTGGCATCTACTGAGTGGCTTGCTTGCTTCAGAATTTGGTTTCACTGCCGCAGCTGAACTCTGCCATCTAAACGTGATGTCTCATGGCGGCCTTATCAGAGACAAAACCTTTTCTGTAGGAAACACTGCGACCAGAGCATCCCAGTGAAAGGATACAGTTTTAACCATTTGGACCCAACAGTGGTGTCTCATCTGATGGTCTACGTTTCACAATGAGAATCAACAATGGACTTAACCCACACATCCCTACCTGTACCACATTAGGTGTTATGGAGCACATTGAAGAAACAGTTCCCTGTCTCATTGAGAAGACAGGACTTACACATGAAGAATTAAAGCAGACTTGCAAAAGAAGTATATGGTAAAGTTCTAAATTAAATGAGTCATGCTGAAACATCCAGCACAGACAGTAAATACTGGGGGGGAAACTAGGCTTGCTTCCCCCAAAGCAGGACTGCTGAATGCCTCTTAATCATTAGGGGCAGGCAGAGCACAGGGGGGCCTTTCAGAACAGTGGGTTAGACAAGATCAATGTCATTTGTAAGGGTACGACATCAAGTTAAGGGGATGTTCTTTCCCCTCGTAGATTTGGACTGGACTGCCATTTATTCCTCTGTATTAACTAAACTTCCCAATTTAAATTAGCTGTATGGAAAATAAACGAACTGGATCATATTGGAAGTAGAGAAGACCAGCCATTCCCTAGTTCTGTTGCTACATTTAATGGTGTTCACTTTTTTAAGCTTTCCCCATTTGTGACAGGAAAACAAGGCACTTGATTTCCTTGCAACACTATTGATAATCTTTGGTGTGACCATGAAATGATGTCACTTGGTAAGAAAGATGGGTATAAAACTGAAAGCAAACATGCTTTAGCCTTAGCAATTTCTCATTTGCTTTTCAAAATGCAGTCTTTCCCCTAGTTTCCCATACTCTTAAGGTGGGCATGATTATACATATCCACTCTCCCCTAAAACATATTCCGGGTATGAGGAACATGGGAGAAGGGTCTTTGCACACCACCCTCCTCTCTCTCTTTGAAGGCTATCAGAGTTGAGAGCCATGTGTGTGCCCCAGGAACTGATGGGGCTGTGTAACTGCCCTTCCCTAGATCTAACAACCTCTGGTTTTGAACATTAGGCTGGTCAGAGAGCAATGTCAATCCTACTTCTCCTCCATGGCCAGCACCAAAGGCAAGCAGTCCAAATGGCAGTAGCCCTGCAGTGAAAGGTAATACAGTGTTCTATCCCCCCTTAAATGACAGTTGCCTTCACTTTCACTGGCCTCACACCCTTTTCTTTATTTCTTTACTAATTTCCCTGTGAGCACCTTGGGTTCAAAGGAGGGGCTGCATGGGTGGAGAGTTCGGCATGATCCTAGGAACTAACATTCTAACTTTTTTCCTGGCTTAATGTCCTAATTCATAACTCCCTCTATCAAATCTAATGAGGAAGACTCAAACATGTATCTCCATGTGACTGGGTGCTCCCCAAGATTTGGTGACAACAGTAAGGGAGAAAAGGCCACTGAGGTTGGCGATCCTTAGCTGAAAATACCATTGCTTCCACCAGACAAGGCATTTGGTTAGTGCTTTTCATGAAGAGCCAGGTGTCTTAGTTGTCAAAAGAGGGCCTTTCGAGCTTGTGAAATCTGTCCTTTTGAGACAAAACATCTGCCTGAGGAAGATCTCATTTGTATTTGCAGCTCTCTCTCTTTCTCTGGTCATCACCCACTTTCCCTATGTTGACCACAGGAAGTTAAAGGAAGTGTCAATTTTATTATCATCAGAAAGCATTCCCTTGATGTTTTTTAGGTGTTGTGCAAATAGTTGCACCTGGTTTTCCCTCCCACAGTGGAGGTCTGGGGAATGTGAGGACCCCCAAGCCCCTGAGGTATAGTTACCTGGCTCTTCACGGCAGGGCCACACCCACCATCGGAAGGTGCTGGGAAGGGGGGGTGAGCATGGAGGGTGTTTTCACTGGTGCTGTCTCTAAGATATCTTTTTTTATTTTTTTAACATCTTTATTGGGGTATAATTGCTTTACAATGGTGTGTTAGTTTCTGCTTTATAACAAAGTGAATCAGTTATACATATACATATGTTCCCATATCTCTTCCCTCTTGCGCCTCCCTCCCTCCCACCCTGCCTATCTAAGATCTCTTGACATCCTCTATCAAGAACACACTAATCCTCCTAAGTCAATCTTGCCCCATACAGTTTCCTTGTGTGACCTCCTACATGACTAAAGAAAGAGAAATTACTCCCTTTTTTAAAAAAAAATGATGTCTCCCCCACTCCCGCCAAGCTGTATTGAGATCTCTGAAGTCTCAGTTTATCATATCAAAATAACCCAAGTGTTTTGGGGGCTAACTGCACACAGTGTGAAATTAATGTTACATAATAATAACTTGCACAGTTACTAACTAGTCTTGCTTGCAATAGCTTATCTCTGTAATAGATGCATTATTATCTCATTATAAAATAATATCCACAAGAGACTTTGAAAAACAAAAGGAGGAGAATCAGAGGTATAAAGTGATCGGTATACTGTCTTAATGTTTAAGTGCTTTTTAGTGAAAAGATCAAAAGCCCTGTGTATGTTGGTATAATCCCATCAATATTCTCTATCACTGTCATATAACCACTTTTAGCAACTTGTGCTACCAATAGTTTTTGAGACTCTTTTCAACCAGATGGCAAGCACATTCCTAGCTGCTCTCAGCTAGAAGGATAACCTGTCAGAGAGACATTTACTTTATGCTTTTGATACTGCCACCCGTTGTAGAAAGAAAAAAAAGCATGGGTCATCCAAGCGAATGAACTTAGATTCTCATGTGGAATGATTTATATAGAGAGGAGCCTCCAACTTATTTGTAAATCACTTGCATCAGGCACTCTTTTGAAAATGTTCTCCTCATCTGGAAAATAATTAGGCTCTGTAATCGTGGCATTCAAGAAGTTAGGGCAGGTGGTTCGGTGAAAGGACAGCTGAAGGCTGTTCCACTGAGGCTGGAGTGTAAGGGGTATGGGGGCAATTTAGAGCCCAGTGGGGAAGGGGAGGCCTGTCACAGGCCCCCTTCCTCTGATGGGAGAGGGTTAAAGAAGGCAGTGACCTTGAGAGAAGAGGGGCAGTCAGGCCTAGGTGCCATCCCCCCTCCCCGCTTCTGGACCTGTTGCTTCCCCCCCTCCCCCCTTCTGGACCTGTTGCTTTGAAGGCTGAAAAGAGTAACACACGGTGTTTCTCTTAACCCAGCAGATTTGAAAAGATTCCTCCAGGAAGCACCTTGCTTGAGACATTCAGTCTGATTTCTGAAATGACTGATATTTCCTGGTGGTGGTGAAGCATGGGGCCTGGGGTTTCAGGCAGCTCTGCGGGCTGTGGCCATCGCTGGGTGGAGGTGCAGGTGTGGGTTAACACAAAGGATCACTGTGCGTTGAACTGTGTAAAGACCATGGTTTAAAAACGTTGCTCAGCCAACCGGCCAACGGGGGGGCATGGAATACCCTAACAAGGCTTAGCGACAAAGATCAATGGGGTTTGTCGGATTGAGCGCCCTCCCTCTTCAAGGTGCACCTGGATCCACCTGCCTGCAGCCTGGCAGAGGTGGGAGTTAGCAAGGGAGGTGTGCCCATGTTTGCTCTTCTCTCCCCAGAGCCTGCCAAGCCCTCCTCGGACCTGACTGCCTGGTTCAGCCTTTTCGCCGATCTCGACCCATTATCAAATCCTGATGCTGTTGGGAAAACCGACAAAGAACATGAATTGCTGAATGCATGAGTCTGCAGCCTCCAGGAAGGAGCCCACAGGCGGCTCCAAATCAGCACACCCGGGGGCTTGCAGATGTAGGAAGCGATCAGTATGCTGTTTTAATATTTACGTGCCATTTTAATAAAATGAAAGGGTCAAAGGCCCTGTTTATATTGGTATGATTATTTACTTTTATTTGGTCTAAAGGGTTCCTGTGTGTTCTCTATGTGGACCTGACGATACAGGGTGGTCTAGGAGCAGTTTCCAGGCCCACCGTTTTCCTGCCCACAACTGCATCGTGGCTGCCGACGTGTCACTGGGCTGCTACAAGGTCCAAGTTCAAATCATAAACCTACTTTTTGTTAGGTTTAAATAAGGTGGCCTACAGCCTCAGAGGCAGCGGGAGGCTAGGGAGGCTTAAATGCCTCCTCGTGTACCCCCTTGCCCGTGTCCCCCCTTAGCGGGGGGCTGTAGGGAGACACCCTCTTCCTGCCGAGCCACTTTCCAGAGAGCTCTGGGTGAAGCTCCCGCCGACCAAAGACTCTGTCCCACGGCCCCTGCCTGCTGTGCGGTGCGTTCTGTCACGGGCAGTGAGCTTGTCGGGGCTGCACAAATCCCTCTGCGGAAAGCAGCCACATCTGCAGATCCCAGCTCTCCTTTAGTCCTCTCCATGGCTGGAATTCAAAAGCATGTATTTCTGGAGCCCCTTGTGATATTAACTGTTTTGTTTTTTTAATTAAACGGAAAAGATATTTGACATGCAAAGTCAAGTTAATAAATGAGTCTGTCGTGTGGACTCAGTGGGGAGGTGCTGTGGGAGTAGAGGCTGGAGAGGGACGGGGGAGAAGGACGGGTCCCACCTGCATGAAGCTGCTGATGTGACCCATGCATCTCCCAGGTCCGGCAGTGGGGGAGGGGCGGGGACTCCTGCCAGCGCGGGCAGGGGTGAGGGTGGCAGTTCTGCGTGAGGGCACATAAGCGACTCAGATAATCCACCTTCGTCAGAGACTCCAGGGCTGCCGCCTCTTCTTCCCGCCCGTGTCACCGGTAATGGGCTGAGAGGCCACACACATCCGCAGAAGCCCGTGTTCCACGCCTTTCACTGAGTCGGGGCGGAGTCTATGACGGACTAGCAAGGCCTTGGTTCTACGAGCTCAGCTGGGCTGGGAGGTGTCTGCTGCGCCTGCAGCCTCAGTCCCCAGCCCCTAAAGGGTCTCCTGGGGCCACTTCTCCACGTGCACAGCGACGCTGGGCCTGCCCAGCTCAGGGGAGGCCCAGCCTGGCGCCCGGCCCGCGGAAGGCGCTCCTTCCTCTGCGCGGGAGGAGACGCAGGTAAGATGGCACCGGGGACTCGGCGGTGCGTATGTGGCTTGTTAAGCTGAGCTCACTTCCGGGCCGGAGCAGCACGGCCCTCCACAGGGGTCTCTTTCGTTAGAATCTCATTTAGCAGAATCCTCAGCCTGGCGTTCGTGGTCTTAGAGGAGATCGGTGTACCTCCCCAGGGCCCCAGCTCACTACCCTGCCCCCACACCACAGGAGGGCTTGCTGTGCCCATAAGCCTCCCTCTCTCTCGGCCTGTGCGTTTGCTGCACACTCCACCCAGGATAGCCCGGCTCCGTGCCCTCAGCCACCTTCACGATGCTACCCACCCCTCAGGAGCTTCCTCAGACCCCGTCTCCCCCACAGGGACCTCTCAAAGTGTAGCCCGCAGTTTTCCGTTGGATGACTGCTTCTCATCTCTGCCCCTGGCCTCCCATCTCCTCAGAAGGCCTGTGCTGTCTGCATGTGCCTCTACCACCGCGTGTTGCAATCCCAGAAAACAAGGCCTCTATTTCCCCAAATCTTCTCTGTCTCCCCACTAATGAGCACCCTGGAGGCACCTTGTAAGCACTGGATTAATGATTGCTGAATGGAGCTGCCCTGTGTGGAATGTTGATTAAGGCCTCATGGTTTCATCCTGGGTCACATTTGTTTGCAGCTGTAAAAACCCATAGCAGCCACCGTAAGGCATTGAAGCAGGAGGGCCTGACTCCCTCTGTCCAGGCCGGAGGCCCAGGGAGCTTGGTTGGCGGAGGGCAAGGGGTGCGGGGTTCTCTTCTGTTGAATGGATCACTTTAAATACTAACAGGTTGCATTTTATGGTTGATCTGTGGGTGAAGGGGAGAAGAGGATTGTGGTCATTGGACAGCCTTTCCTACAATTTAAAAAAAAAAAAGGCATTTTCTCCCTGGATTTTTACATTTTTGTTAAAAAAAAAAAAAAAAGATTCAATTCCCTGTCACATCTGCAGTCCTCTCGGCCAGGCTCTTGATCCCTCTTGATAGGTGTGTTTCCATCGTGGCTCACACAAAGCCCCTTCGAACACCTCTCCAGTTTAAGGAGAAGAAGCTGCCTCCTGATTCTCTTTTTTTTTTCTTTTTTTTAGCGATACGCGGGCCTCTCACTGTTGTGGCCTCTCCCGTTGTGGAGCACAGGCTCCGGATGCGCAGGCTCAGCGGCCATGGCTCACGGGCCCAGCTGCTCCGTGTCATGTGGGATCTTCCCGGACTGGGGCACGAACCCGTGTCCCCCGCATCGGCAGGCGGACTCTTAACCACTGTGCCACCAGGGAAGCTCTGCCTGATTCTCTTTTAAGTGTCCTGTGTGCCGGCCCAGCCAGGGGGCTTCCTCTGGGACCCACCTCGCGGCCGGGCTGTCTTCGTCTAGAAGTCGAAGGTGCCTCACCTCTTCGTGCCCAATCTTGCTTCTGCTTAATTTTCATCCCATGTCATGAAGCTGCTCTGAACTCTCAGGGACATTCAGAGAGCAACTGCTCCTTGAACACTTTCATCCTTTGGAGGTGCAAGTCTCCCTTCCCCACTCCCCCTGTCCCAGCTAATGTAGAAAGAATATTCACATTTACGGGAGGGAGCCAGAATGTTTCTATTTGCACTTTATAGATTCATCGCCTTCAAAATGTAATTTTAGAAATGTCAAGTTGATTTTGAGTTCTGGGAGAGTGAGAAAAGCATCCGTCAGCTTCAGAATTAGAAATGTGCCAACTTAGAAAGAACCAGCACTTGTTGTTATCAGAGGTTTATGCCCAAGAAAACGTTACCTGCTCAGAACTGGCAGCCTTGGGAGCCCTGAGTTGCCAGTTGGCGTGTAGGTGGGGCTCACCATCATGTGTTGACATTGGGTGTGGGCCAGGGCAGAGGGCCCCCCCAAGGCTGCCTAGCCCTCTGGGTTAAGATGGCACCCACCAGACCTCTCCTGTCCATGCTTCAGCTCCAGGGGCCAATTAACCAAACTCTATGCTTTCCTCTCTGAGACCCCTCCCCAAGGGCTGACCCTGGCAGTGGCTCAGGGCTAACTATTAGCACTGTTGGATTTTGCCAGTATATCAAAGTTGTTTCTGTCTTTGTGATCAACTAGTGTCCTCCAGACAGGCCATGGTAGTTAATCCTCTGCTTTGGTTTAAACCATCTCCCAGTCCCAGTCCCAGTGTAATGATGTAGGTCTCTTTAGCTTTGTTGGAAAATAGATTTCAGGTTGGAGGCAACTCCAGATGATCGGCAATGGCTGCCAAGAATTCTGCATTGAGAAGAATTCTTATAAATGAGTGATATTTGTGATGGGTACAGGGCAGGGAGTGGTGGCAACAATGCTATCTAATTACCAGCACTACATTAGACCTTGCCTTTCATGCAGCTTTTAGATTTCACAACTTCTTCTTATCCTTCTCCTTCTTTCTCCTTTTCTTCTTCTTCTTCCTCCTCTTCCTCTTCTTTTAATCAAAAGTGGCTAGGGGGCTTCCCTGGTCGCGCAGTGGTTGAGAGTCCGCCTGCCGATGCAGGGGACGTGGGTTCGTGCCCCAGTCCAGGAAGATTCCACATGCCGCGGAGCGGCTGGGCCCGTGAGCCATGGCCTCTGAGCCTGTGCGTCCGGAGCCTGTGCTCCGCAACGGGAGAGGCCACAGCAGTGAGAGCCCCGCGTACCGCAAAAAAAAAAAAAAATTGGCTAGGATTTGGCAACATTGACAGAGGGGCATGCATGAATGAGAAAAGCAGAAAGTTCAAAGAACACATTACTGACACCTAATTCAACTCAAACTCACTTAAACAACAACAACAAAAAGTGGGGGTGGATTTATTCGCTCAGGTAACTAAAAAGTCCAGGTGTAGGCTTTCATGCATGGCTGGATCTAGGGGCTCAGATGATGTTCTCAACAATTATCCCCTCTTCAGCTCCCAGCTCTGATTCCCTCTGTGTGGCTTCATTCCAACAGACTCTTCTCATAAGGAGGCCAAAAGGCCACCAGCATCTCCAGCCAAAGTCTTGATTTGAGTCTGCCTTTTGTCCTTGGTCCAATCATCAGTCAACCACTGGGGTGAAAAATAGGCTATTTGCCCAGCTTTTCATGAGCCTATCCCTGGAGCTCAACCCTCAAGGACTGGGAATAGAGAGAAGATAGTTCCTTAAGGGAAAGCTAGGGCGCCATTACTAGAGGAAGAGGGAATGGACCTTGGGAAGGAGAATGCAATAGTGATCCACGCTAGTTTCCACTGGAAGGACTTTGACGACGCACTGTGTAGTCTTTCCAGAGGGATATGGAGTGAGCTGTGTTAAAGAACTGGAATGTTTTCCAGGAACCCCACTGGGATCCCTTTTGAGGTCATTCCCAGCACTGGGGCTGGAAGGCTTGGTGCTCTCAGTGGCCCATGGAGGATCCCTACCTTGCAGCTGACCTATAGCTGACTTCAGGAAAGTCAAAAGGGATCACAGAGCTCTTTGTATCCAATCCGCTCATATCCAGGTAATGAGACTGAGGGACCCAGGGGACATAAAAAACCTATAAGTTAAGTGGAAAACCAAGACTAGAGCCCACATTGCCTGACTCCTGGGCCAAGCCTTCTTTTACTTCAAGGTGTTTGCTGGAAACTGAGAGCTGAGGTTTTAGACCAGTCATTAAATACACCTTTTGGAGATAGAATCTAGCACAGTAATATAGGGCAGTCATTAGAGTTTGGGTTCTGAAGCTGGACAAATCTGTAGATACCAAAATTAACAGAAGCAATGCACAGTTACTCTAAAGCAATGGGAGGCTTGAAACCAGAAACACCAAGCCAGCAGAAGCAGAGAGGTATAGACCAGACAGGGGGTGGAGCAGGGGAGAGGGCAGGTGGTGGCCAGACCTTGG